GGCTGTAACCATGGAAATGCATCCCTGTGAACAGAGGTGGCCATCCTCTCGGACCAGTGCTGGCCTGCTCATTGCTCCTGTCACTCCCCACAGATGAAATGCAGAGGTTGGGTCAGAGGCCAGCAGAGCGTTTAGAAAAACCCCAGGGACTCAGGGAGCATGTGAAGCATGGCCAGCCTGATACCTGCCTGCCTCTGACAGGGACCACGGGTCCTAACACCACTGTGGTCACCATGTCTCTTTGTTCTTCGACTTCGGGCTCCCTTTCCTCCCTTTCTCCCTCATGTCTTCCGTCCTAGCACCCTCCCTTCCCTACCTCTTCTCTCTCACTGATACCTTTCTCTCCTATGCATGCAGAGCTAGGGGAGAGGCAGGTCCCAGGACCTTAGGCCCACCTGATGGTGGCAAACTAGCTGAACAGGAGAAGCTGGCCATGGAGGTCTGTCTTACACCTGCATGTGTACCTACCTCTTGGGGCCTTCTAGAGACTAGGTCAGGGCTGCAGGCGCTGGCTTTGCTGGACACCTGCATACCGAGCGCAACTGCCTCTCTGCTGAGGAGGCGCGACCACTCATTCTCCTCCTCTCTGTGCCCACAAAGCTGGCATTTGTGCCTAGTGGCAACGGGCATCAGGGAGTCAGCCATGCCTGCGTGGCAATGAGACTAAGCTGATGATGGCATCGGGGTGGGGGGACTGGTTCTGCCAGACTTCTCACTCCCCAGGGCCACAGTAGGCATAACAGTCTAGCACGTGCACCCCATCTTCAACACGTGTGCAGTACTCAAGCACAGGCCTGTGTGCCGTGGGCTGGTGGCCAGGTGTGGGAACCCTGAAGTTTGCTGAGCCAGCACGACAATGCCATAGAGAGATTGGCCGTGTACACAGACAGTGCCTTGTGTCAATGGGAGGGACAGAGGAGGCTGGGCTGAGTTCCAGGAGACGGGGGAATGATGGGAGGGAGGTTTACAGCCCTGATGACACTGTGACAGCTCCTCCGTGTGTTTCTCATGCATATGCTAAATGTCACGGGGTCTTGCAGGGCCTGAGCACGCACCACAGAAAGCGTGCCATCTGAAGGATCCCCATGGGGCCTGTCCCACTAAGGGCAGCAAAAAGTGGGGGGCAGGCTCAGTAGAAAGTGGGCCAGGAGAGAAGGGATGCTGTGAGGGTCTGGTAGAGAGCGACCGAGTTAGGGCAGTAATGCCAGGCCTGAGAGAGAAGGGGAAGGAGGCAGCCGGGTTCCCTGAGGTGTCCCATGCCCCGTGAGGTGAATAGCGATGCACAGCCCACAGCTGGAGGTTCCATTCCTATGCCAGGACAGCTGGAAACAGAGCTTTCCCAGAGGTCTCATTTCCCCTGGAAAGGTCAGGGACAAAACACTCATTCTTGGACCCCAAAGACACGAAGCAGTTACTCCTACATCAGAGCCAGGCCCTGTCCTAAGCATTTTTCCATGACACTGTTTGGAGCTTGCAGCGAAGTGGTAAATCCAGGTAGAGCGGTCCCATCCTGCAGAGCCATGAAACTACTTACTGCACACCCAGGAATCAAATCCAGGTCTGTGTGACCACACCACTCCGGGCTTGCGTGATTAGGTCCCATATAGAGCTGAGTAGACCGTTAGGGTCCACATGTCCCTTAGAGCTGGGAACCAAGGTACAGACAATAGAGGCAGCCTTCTCATGGGTGCACAAGTTAACGGCAGTCAGGGCAATAGCCTGGTTTCAGGTTCCCTGAGCGCTGCCCCTTCCTGGCATTTGTCAAGATTCTAGCCTGTGCTCCAGAGAAGTCAGAAGGGCCTAGAAGAAGAGGAGATACCGCCCTGGCCCCAGCAGGTAGGTGTGAGTCTCTTCCTGGCTTCTGAGGAGCTGGTTGCTAGAGGCAAGGACTCCATAACTAGGATGCAGCTAATACAGGCTTCCACCTAAACCTCCCTCCTCCAGCTAATGGGTCTGCTCCATCTAATCCAGCCCAGGAGGAAACAGAGGCCCCAGAAGAGACCTGACCTAGGGACTGCCTCTGGGTGCCTCTCCACTCTGTCCTCTTCAGGGGGGCTTGGGTGACACAAACAAAAACCTAGAGGTGCTGTGTTAGCTAGTTTTAAGTCAACTTGACACAAACTAAAGTTATTTGAAAGGAGGGAACCTCAATTGAGAAAACACCTCCATGAGACCAGGCTGTAGGGCATTTTCTCATTAGTGATTGATGGGGGAGGGCTTAGGCCATTGTGGGTAGTGCCATCATTCCTGGGTTGGCAGTCATGGGTTCTATAAGAAAACAGGTCAAATAAGCCACAAGGAGCAAGCCAGTAAGCAGCACCCCTCTCCAATGGCCTCTGCATCAGCTTTGGCCCCCAGGTTGCTGCCCTGCTTAAATTGCTGCTTGAATTAATGATGAAGAACTATTATAAGAAACTGTGAGTGAAAAATACACTCTTTTTCAAAAGCCCCCGTTTGGCTTTTGGTCATGGTGTTCACCACAGCAATAGTAAGTCTAAGACAGTAGTCAACTGGGAACTGACATAGTACAGATTCAGGTGTGCTCACTGAGGGGGCCTGGACCATATTGAGAACAAGTAGCGGGCACACTGACTGCTATGCCGAGCCTCTCAGGCGCTAGTTCCTGGGGACCGGGTTGCAGACTGAAGCTCGAGTGGCTCCTGGGCTATGCAGCATCTGGGTTGAGGAGAACCCAGAGTTTGTTGAGTTCTACATTGAGCATAAGGCTGAGCAGAGGAGGGCTTGAGTCAAGCCTGCTCTTCAAGACTTCAGAAATCGACACCAGTCTGAGCACCAATTATTCCTTATGTTTTGGGGCCAGGTTGTCTACAGGGAACAGAGCTTAGGAGCCATGTATGGTCCTGCTATTGTGGCCTCAAAGGGGTCCGCAGAAGGGAAATAGACGATGGGGCTGGACATTGGAAATCCCTGTCAGATACCCTTGAGTAGTCCTCAAAGAAGCATCCGTATAGTTTCCTAAATCCTGGATTTACAGCGACGCCTAGGCTGGGTGCCAGTGTGACAAGCCAGCAGGCATAGCTAGAACAGCAGGCCTGAAATGTCCTGGGCAGTGGGCAGACTATGAATAGCCCTTCTTGGACACACTAGGCTAGGACACCACCTTAGTAAGCATCTTCTTCAGAGCTCCTGAGCAGGCAAAAATGCCATAGCCATAGGAGCCCAGAGACCTCTGCCAGTCCCGGGCCCTGTCTACCATCTGGGCATTAACATTACCAAGGAAGGGAAAACAAACAGGTGGGGAGAGATGAGAAAAGGCAAAAAGAACAGGGCTGGGCTGGAAAGATGGCTCAGCAGTGAAGGGCACACGTTGCTTTTCTGGGGGCGGAAGTCGCTTCCAGTACCTGTGTCGGACAATTCCCACCTTCCGCAACTCCGTCTCTAGGAGAATCTGAGGCCTCTAGCCTCTGTAGGCACTTTGCTCACACGCACATACCCACACACAAACACACACATCTACACGTCATTAAAAATAACGCTTGAGGAAGGCAAAAAAGTACAGGGCTGGAAGGAGGCACCTAGAATGCAATGGTCACCTCCTCCCTGCAGCCCAGGCCAGGCTCTCATGCAGAATTCAGTCGCTGCCGGGGTGATGCAGTCCTGCAACCAGCCACCCAAACCCCCACGGCACTGCACCCACCCCACCCCACCCATCCCGCTCATCCACAAGCTGACGAGTCCTAACAGGCCTCCTTTGCCAGTGACAAAAATAACTATTTTCAAAATTCACAGCAGGGCCTTCGCCTACACACACTGCGCCGACTGGAACCTGAAGGGAGATATGCAGAACGCAGTGTGCGGATGGAGCGCTGTTATGCAGCAAGCAGGCTTTACAAACACCACCCCCTCCTCACCACTACTGAGCCTGGGTCCCCCAGATGCAAATGTGCACAGTGGTGCCCAGAACAACCAGAAGCAAAGACTTCTGGATCATCCGCTGTACGCAGAGAAACACTGAGGCCCAGAGAGGGTCATGGGTTTGCCTGCAGCCACACAGTGAACCCATGGCAGGACTCCCTTCCCACCTTTCTTCCCGTTCCCTTTGCTAACAGAGAGCTCACACGAGGCCCCCAGGACACATATGCGCGCACACACAGAGACCAGCATCTCTTGCCTGTGGGAAAAGGCACTTTAATCAAGTTCACAGGCTCTTCCACAACCATTAGCGTGGTCAGTTTTCTCCAGCACTGTGAGGTAGGCCGAGCCAGGACTAGCATCTCCCTACCCCTTTGCAAGTAGGGAAATCAAGGCCCTGGAGTAAAGGACCGTGCCCAAGGCCAAAGGAGATGATTGGTTCAAAGACTCTTTTCACAGCTGTTTCCTCAGGACCCAGCCGGGTCCTCCTGGACGCTGGGGACAAAAAAAGGGTGTTCCACTAGCTCCCACATCTGGGGGCTCTGGGAATGTAAAGATTCTCATACCCTAAATTCTCCATCCTCATCGGGTCCTTTAACAGAGCAGCTGGGGCCGGGCGGTGGTGGCGCATGCCTTTAATCCCAGCACTCAGGAGGCAGAGGCAGGCGGATCTCTCTCTGTGAGTTCGAGACCAGCCTGGTCTACAGTGCTAGTTCCAGGACAGGCTCCAAAGCCACAGAGAAACGATGTCTCGAAAAATCCAAAAAAAAAAAAAAAAGAATATAATGTAACAGAGCAGCTGGCTATTCTCCAGCCGATGTCCAAGAGCACCACAGAGACCTGGAAAGAAGTCACGGACTCACGTCATTCGGAAGGGGGCAAGATCAGCAAGGAACTCTGCCATGAGCCCAGTCACATGTATACACTGGAGCCATAAAGTTACCAGAGCTCATCTTAGAGGTGAGGAGACTGAGGCAGAAGGCTGCTATAGGTAACCTTAGGTCACAGAACAAACACATCAGGAGAGAGGCAGGACTGGGACCCAGGCATCCCAGCCGGGTTGGTGCCCTCCCCCAAGCCCCACATGATTTAGCCCTTTCTGTGCCCTCCCTCCACATGCCTGCAGAGGAGACTTGACCTTCTCCCTGAGAAGCAGCAACGGGACAGTATCTTAGGAGGAGCTGAGATTCCCTGCTACCCCCAGCCATCAGATCCGGTGGGACATCAGCCTGGTATTGAGTTTCCGGAAAAAAGATCGAAGCTTGCAAATCTTGCATTTCTTCTTGCGGCGACCCCGGGAGAAACTTCGAGCCCTGCCTTCCTCCTCCTCCTCCTCTTCTTCCTCATCCGTGGCCCATGGTCCCCAAGCACCCCCATTAAAGTCAGGGTGGGCCCGAGGGTTCGCAGCTGGGTAACGCACAGGGATGGCAGTCCGGTTATAATCAGCAAGGCGAGCCAGCAGGGTGCGGACGATGTCAGGGCGCTGGCCAGCCAGGTCCTCTCGCTCATAAGGGTCAGCACTGATGTTAAAGAGCCACACAGCCTGGCGGATGCTGGCCATCCGCTCTAGGTTCCACCAGCTGCCAGGGAAGGAGGCCAGTGTCTGTGGTGGGATCCAGTCACCATAGCCTGGGTCTCCAGTGAGGAGCTTCCACTCTCCCACCCGGATAGCAGCCTGCACAGCTGTATTCCAGATGCCAAATCCACCTTCCAAGGAGCCATGCTGGGCATGGTTGTAGAGGGGGTCGATGTTGTGTAGGATCTCTGTACGTGGTGAGGCCCGGCCCTCACTGATGGCTGGCCACACATCGTAACCATCCAGTCCGTCAGCTGCCGAGGTAGTACCACCCGCCAGACCCACCAGTGTTGGGTACCAGTCTGTGATATGCACCAGGGCCCGACTCGTCCGTCTCTTTTTCTTGAGCAGGGGGCTGTGGACGAAACCCAGGCCCCTCACACCGCCTTCCCAGTAAGTACCCTTGCGTCCTCGAAGGGGCCAGTTGCTACCTCCTGAGAAAGTCTGGCCACCGTTGTCACTGGAGAAGATAATGACGCTGTTGTTATAGAAACCATAGCGCTTGAGGGCCCAGGTGATGTTGCGAACAGCCTCGTCCATGCAGGTCACCATGGCCGCGTACTTGCGCCGCGCTACATTGCCCATCGTGCGATAGCGGTACAGGTACTCTCGAGGTGACTGTAGGGGTGTGTGTACTGCCTGGAAGGCCACGTAGAGGAACAGGGGTTTCTGAGGGCTGTGGCTCGCAAGGATGTGGCTGGCACGCTGAGCGTAGAGCAGGGTGGAGTACTGGCCGCTGAGGCCCCAAGCCACGCTCTCGCCTTCATGCAGGTCGAAGCCACAGACCCCTGGGCCGTCACAGTTGTCATAGGTGTAGTAGTCCACATTGCCTGTGAGGGAGCCCAAGAAGGTGTCAAAGCCCCTGCGGGTTGGCAAACACTCCTTCCTGTAGAAGCCCAGATGCCACTTGCCCACCATGTGGGTGGAATATCCTGCTTCCTGCAGCTTCTGGGGCAGTGTTACCTGGTCCAGGGGCAGGCAGTTGGGCTGCCGTGGGCGGATGATGGAGTGTTGCAATCCTGTGTGGATCTGGTACCTGGTGGTAGAGAATGGATACATGGGAAATACAAGTGAGATGTAGACCACTGCTCCCAACCCTGAGATGGTTCTTGGTCTGGTGCCCCAGCAAGAACAGTAACAAAGGTATCAGATACTGTCAAATCCTCATACAAGTGGAAGTAGCTATGCCAGGTTATTGATGGGATGGACTAACTGCAGCTCAGAACAGTTAGGCTGCCACCCAGGACCACACAGCCAAAAGTTAGCACCTCGAGAGTTGAGCCGGGCTCGCTAATGACAACAGTTAGGAGCTAATACCAGGTTCTTGCCCATGTGTTTCAGCATTGCGCTCCCTTTGGATCCTGCTCACCAAATCCTCACTGCAAACTAAGAAGTACACATTTTTATTCCTACCTCCCAAATAAAGAAACTGAAGCTCGATGATTGACATGACTATTATGAAGTGTAGGCTGGGTATCCCAGCAGAGGCTCCAGACCCCATTCCTGAGCTCTAAGCTATAAACTTAGAGCAGAGCCTGGATACACCAAGTCCTGCTCTCCAAGGCAAACCCCTACTCCTTGAAAACCCATGGCAGTATTATTCCCTCAGTAGTTTCTTACAACTCACTCAAAGAGCGAGTACTTTGTTTCTGGGTCCTCCTCCTCCCCCACACCAGGGATTTGGTGCACATCTTCGCTCTCTGCTCAGCCCTGGGACTATAGCTGTATATGCTTTTGGGCCCAATGATGTAGAATAGGGTTGTCTTTCTATTCCTAGCACCTCAGTGATATGTAAAGCTCACTCAGTTACTTGAGGAATGGCTGGCTGGCTGAGCACGTGAATGAATGAATTCGGATGGTATGGGAGCCAGAGTGAACTAAGTCCTTTTCTAGGTTTTTCATCTTCTAAAAAAAAAAAAAATAGAAAGAAAAAGAAAAAAGTAACAACAGGGCCCAGAGAGATGGCTCAGTAGTTAAGAGCACTGGCTGCTCTTCTAAAGTCAATTCCCAGCACCCACATGGCAGCTCACAACTGTCTGTAACTCACACAGATATACATGCAATGCAGGCAGAACACCAATGCACATAAAATAAAAATAATTTAAAAAAGCAATAACAGGGGCTGGAGAGATGGCTCAGAGGTTAAGAGCACTGGCTGCTCTTCCAGAGGTCCTGGGTTCAATTCCCAGCAACCACATGGTGGCTCACAACCATCTGTACTGAGATCTGGCGCCCTTCTCTGGCGAGCGGGCATACATCGAGGCAGAATGTTGTATACATAATAAATAAATAAATCTTTTTTTTTTAAAGCAACAACAAAAGTCAGAGGAAGGAAGGGCTTTTTGTTCAAGGTCACTCAGCAGTCAGGGACAGCGCTGAGACTTGAACATGAGTCCAAAAGGTCTGAGCAACAGTGTTTTCAAGCAAAGTCGCCTGCCCAGCTCCTCACATGTGGGACCAGTTGATGTTTACTCGTGTAAGTGAGCTGGCTGGAATGGGAAATCCCTAAGAGGCACGGTACTCTCAGGCATTATGAGACGTGCCTACTGAGAGTCCAAGGCTTGCCACCCAGGCAGATGACACAGTAAATTTGTAGCAGAATCCTGGGTTTCCCTTATTCGTTTACATTGTATCTTCTGCTGCTGTGGCTAGAGATCTGGGTGATCTGCTTTAAGGTGTCTTAAAAGCTGCAAGTCAATAAACCAACTGGAATGTCACAAGGCGGTTAGAATTCCCACACCTTTCCTTACCCCTACGCAGCTGAGTTAGCCTGAGTACTTGGTATTTGACACCAGTCTTTCCTTAAAACCATTCTTAAGACTTTGCGTGCCACACACTCATTTAATTCTCCCCTCACTGTGTGTGTGTGTGTGTTCATGAGTTGGGGTCTACTCATGCCAAGGCATGCACTCGTCAGGTCAGAGGACAACTTTCCAGAGTCAGCTTTCTTCCACAGTGGGCTCCAGGAATCAAACTCAGGTCACCAGGCTTACACAGCAAGCACTTGTACCTGCTGGGCCATCTCACCAACCTACACCTCTTTTGTGAAATATACATGGGACATTATCACAATCCCCAACCTACAATTAATGAAACTGAATCCCCCACACACACCAGTGCAATATGTGACCCAAAATCAGACAACTGGCAACTAGAACTGTTTTAAATCAGGCCTACCCAACTCATGCTCAAAATCTCTGTGTGATACAGTTTCTTCAGGCCTCAGGCAAACTGAGAAATGATTGGATTTGACGGGAAAAGCGTCCTGGGGCCCAGACTCCCAGCTGAGCGTTTCTGCATAAGGGCGGGGTGCCTGAAGCACTGGTTTGTAATGTGGGTGGGCCAGCTAAGCCTTGCCAAAGTTCATTTGTCAGGGAGTAACATGAGAAACTTTGGGTCTCTCCAGGTCCACCGAACAGGACTGGCTACAGAAGCCACGGAGTAAGCATCTGCAAGACAAGAGCAGACACCAGCTGGCCCTGTGATGCTCTGTTCACTTCACCAATAAGAGCCTGGCTTCCCATTCAGATGCTTCCCAAAGTCCTGTTGCTCCAGGGAGGGAAGCACAATGGCAGATTATCCTCCCTCTTTAGGGGGTTAGTCATTGTCCCGTGCCAGGGTCTACCCCACTACCAAGCCACACCTGCAACAAAACCGCCTACCCCTCTCCCTCTTCCTGCTCTTCTTCACAGTCCCTGGATCTAAACTCGGGACACAGATGGAAAGAGGGAAAGCACCGCCAGCTGATTTCCAGCTCTGTGACGCCAGCCCAGCATCTGACCTCGCAACCCTCTCTTTCGTAAGAGCCTGAAGGGCAGAGACACTAAGTTGGCCTTTCTCTCTCTCTCTCTCTCTCTCTCTCTCTCTCTCTCTCTCTCTCTCTCTCTCTGATTCCACGACTCATTGTCCCACCCAGGAAACAGGGAGAGATGGGCTCTGGTCCTGGGATCTCAGTAGATCCCAAAGCTTCCTTCCATGAAGCTAATTCCTTCCATGGAGAATTAGCTTCAGCCCAGTCCAAGGATTTTCTCCCAAGTGAAGGGAGTTTGCCTTCCACAACTCCCTCCTGTTGCCCAGCTCTTTTGCTCTTGTAATCTCCAGTCCCATCAGGGAACAGCTCATTGTAAGAGGATTCAGCACTGGGGAGGAGTCTCTATTAAAAAACTTGGAGAATTGGAAAAGTGAAGCAATCAAACAGCCTCAGGCTAAGGGCTCTGCATCTCATGATTCCTTCATCTTCTCCCAACGGAGCCATCCATGACAAGGGACCAGAATCTTTCCAGGATCAAAGACAGAGGCTGTCATTTATTGAGAGATAGGAAAGTTACACATAATTCATTTACCTTTCACCCTTTCAAGATAGAAACTGCCCTTCACTCCATTTTAACTGACTCCCCATCTGTCAATACACTAAATATTCAAAATAAGTGTAAAAGAGTCCTCTGATAAAGAAAGGAACACACGTGTGGAACATGAGTTATCCTAGAACTCTACAGAGTAGGTCTCGAACACCATCAGAAGCATTGAATATGAGGGTTGAGAAACTAAGGCCCAAAGAAGGCAAGGGACTTATCGATAACGGATGTCACTCGCAAAGCTAGCCTATAACACGTTCACAGGGCTGTTCCGCTGGGTCTGCAACCTACCAGCCAGGTTAGTCGGGGATTTGGGCACCCAGTACGGAGAGTCTGAGTCGTGCCTACCTGCCAGTGAGGAGCTGGCTCCGAGAAGGTGTACATATGGGTTGGATGTAATAGTTCTCCAGCTTGACACCCTCAGCTGCCAGCCGGTCCAGCGTTGGGGTCTCGATATCTGAGCCGTGGTAGCCCACGTCGTGGTACCCTTGGTCATCGGTGAGGATGAAGATGATGTGAGGAGGCTGCGGTGGAGCTGCCGAAGGTTGATCGCTGGCTTCCGCAGGCCCATCGGCCACGAGGCCGGGCTTGGCCCAATCCCAGGACAGGTAGCCCAAGCTGAGCAGGCTGACCAGGGAGAATCCAGAGAGGGCATGCATCGTGACGCCTAGCTAGGCACGCGGGGCTCCCAGGGCCTCAGAGCCTCCCGCGCCAGGGGCGCACTGCCCACCCGCCTGTTCGTCCGCCCTCCTGACTGCAGTGAGAGCCCCCGGGGGTCTCTTCTGGGGTCCGCGGTGGAACAGCTGGGCGTCCCGGGAAGGTCAAGCTCGCGCCGAGCCGCCTCCCGCAGCCCTCGCTCCCTCTCCACCAGCTCAGCCCGGCCAGCCCGAGTCGTGGAGTGGCGGCTTCCCAAAAGTGCTCTCCACCATCCCGGGACTCTTCGCTGCCTTTTTACCTCGATCCCTCCCGCCTCTTAATTTCTCTCACTTCTGCTTTCCCTTTCTCCTCCCTCCCCGACCCCCAATTTCCCCCAGCTTAGCTTCTGACCCCGCCCGGAGTCCCCGCAAAGCAATGCTCCCCACAGAGAGGTGGGCAGGACCCCACAAGGGAAGGGGAGGGAGACACGGGCTGGGCGGGTCTGGGAAGGGACACAGCATAAGAGAGGGCAAAAAAGTTGTAACATCTGCCTAGCTGAGCCCCAGGTGAAGGGGTGGGACGCCGAAAAGGGTCCCGCCCCCGGGCAGAGAGCCCAGGCTCCGTGCGGCTGGCAGCCAGCTCCAAGGCCTGCTCCTGGCCAGGACTACCCAGAGAAGGGAGGGGGATTGCTTGGAATTCAGTGGAACAATTCCGGCCAGACATTCCTTGATCATGGAGTCTTAGCATAAGAATGCCACCCCTAGAAGGGTTTATTTTCCAAGCCAACTAGGTCATTTCTAGAGATGGAGAGACCGAGGTCCTGAGGTGACCAGGAGCTAACAAGGTACCGCTTGAGTGGCGGCTCCCTTCAGGTTCTGCCAGCTTCCCTTCCCTCCACTTTTCACCTTCCTCACACCACTTTCCAGTTAGTCGTAGGGTGCTTGGTAGGGTGCACGCCCTGGTCTAGATGGCAGAGGCGTTGTATGCATCTTCTACCCAGAAGTTCCCTCCGTGCACAGTAGGAGCTCAACCCTGTCTGTTGCGTGAATGAGGATCACCTAGGCCAACTCCCCTCTGAGAAGGTAAGCTGGCAGAGTCAAGCCAAGTGTTCTGGTGAGATAGGGACAGTTGTTCCAATTGCTAAGTGCAACTGATTTAAGTCCTGTCTAGGCCACAGCGAACCCAGCTGAGCACCATGTGCCCGTGTGTAACTTTGGCTTGTAAGCCGCTGGGTGCAGTGAACTGGACCACTTCACAGACAAAGCGAAGAAAGGCTTATTGTAAATATGAAACCCCTGCGTGCCTCTCTCTCAGGTTGTAGAAAAAGAAGAGCCAGAGCCCTTTGGTGGAGTCCAAAGCTTCCATGGCTACAGGGTTGGGGGTGGGGGCACTGAAGCCAGCAGAAGGTGACTGCCAGGGCCATCTCAGGGGCAAAAAGAAGCAAGCCTTACTTGTTATAAAAGAAACCTGCTGGGATGGGAGAGGGTGGAGGGGGGGCAGGACTGGAACAGCCTGGGAGCTCTCATAGTGGAGGAGGAATCAGGGAGGTAAGAAGAGCCAGAATGGGGCTTGTGGGCCAGAAGAGCCCAGTGGCTTTGATATGCTCATAGGGACCGAAGGAGCCTGAAAGTTAACAAGGGTTTTGATATTACCGGAGGCATATGCCAGTAGAGAACCAGATGCCCCGTTCCGTTCATCACAGGCAGGGGAGAGAAGGAAGTGGCCCTTCCTGGCAGACAAAAACCCATTTCACAGGTTTCTAAGGAACGCTGAGAGAACGCTTTTGTCTCCTCCAGCAATCCTTCTATTTCCCTGACAGCCACAGACTGTCATTTTGGACACAACAGTGGTAATGTACTTTTGGGGGAACCGGGACCCTAATGTGGCTCGGCATAAGTTTCCATTTTTCATTTGTATTTGTTTATTTCGTTAGTTCTCTATGAGTATGTATATGGATGGGTCGGAGATTGCCATGACCCTTGCGTGGAGAGCAGAAGACAGCTTGTGGGAGTCAAACTGAGGTCATTGGGCTTGTGGCTAGGTGACAAGGGCCTTTACCTGCTGAGCCATCCTCTTGCTGGTGTTTAGGCTGCTTCTTTGTTCCTAGGACTTCAGCTGTTTGACATGGACCCCACTGGCCAACAAAGGGGATGTACAATGCCAAATCTCCCTCTGTTGTGTGACCTTTATGTGATCATCTAGAGGGCCGGGATCTTAGGGACAAAGACTCCCAGGTACGTCTTCCCGCCTAGCACCTTTTCCCTGCCAAGATTCCTCCTCTCTTACTGAAAACCACTGTGTGTGGAAGGAAACCAGACCTCCAAAATAGCAGCCCAATGTGAATCTGCATTTGGAAATGAGGGCTGCGTGGGGCCAGCGCTCCTGTGTGCTCCAAGCCCCATATTTAGGGTGACCAGATTTATCAGAAGGGAAAGCAGCCTGTTGTTCTGGCAAAAGAAATGTTGAAGACAGACAGGAAAAGTACAGCCTCCTGAGGGGAGGGTTGCTAAAATGGTGTTTCCGGAGGCTTCAGGGAGGTTGTCCTGGGTGACAAGGTGAGACAGGCAGGTCATTAGAGGTCACAGAGACCAGGGCTTAGCAGTCTCTACATTTGTCCCCAGACCACTGGCCAAGGCGGCCTTCCCCCTGCTCACACATAAAGAGAGACGGCAGGGCGAACAGGCTGAAGTTTTATTCTGTCCCCACAAAATGGCCTAAAAGGATAGGATCATAGATTGCATATCTCCATGGAGCTGTCATATAAGACCGTATTTTAGGGGACAAGGCCGTGGCCCTAACATCAGACTGTTTAAGTTCAAATCCTGCCACTTATTTGAAGTCTAGCCTCGACAAGTTATCTGCTGTTCCTGCCTATCAGTGTCTCCATCTGTGAAATGGGATACTCACACCAATGAGACACTCTACCACGTTCCGTGATGTGTCCTGCTCAGAGTCAGCATTCAGTGGCTGTGGCTGGTTAACAGTTAGTTCTGCTCCCTACTCTAGAGAACTGACTCTTGTGGCTAAAGTCACGCGGAGACAGATTCCAGGCCAACTTAAGGGATGACTTTCTTCAGCACGCTGGCAGCTTGCTTAACAAAAGGACACCAGCAATGGGGTGAGTGGCCAGTGAAGAGAGGCTGGCAGATCACCGCCAGGGCCCAATTCTTGCTTCTCAATATTCATATTTCTTTTAGGAGTCTTTTGGTAATCCCTAAAACCTAGAGTGTGTCTCAGAAGTCATCGTTCCCCACCAAAGCTCTGGGGAAATAAATACCATTGACTACCATTACTAAGCTGCCAGGCTGGAACATTTCGAGCAGACTTTTCCAAACGCTCAGAGACCACAGGGTGGAAATAAACACAGAGTATAATGCAGATCCAGGTCATGTGGCTTTCAAGATGAGCTGGTTATCTTTTGTGTCTTTCCCAGGGTACTTGCCCTCTTTCCTGGGACGAAGTCCATCAGTTCTCTCCTCTCTCTCTCTCTCTCTCTCTCTCTCTCTCCACACACACACACACACACCACAGTATATTAAGGTATCTTTAATTCAGACTTTGCACATTCTTTTTTGTTGCTGTTGCTGGTTTTTTGTTCTTGTCTGAGAGAAAGGGTTTCTCTGTGCAACAGCTCTGGCTGTCCTAGAACTCACTTCGTAGAGCAGGCTGGCCTCGAACTCAGAGATCCATCTGTTTCTGCCTCCCAAGTACTGGCATTAAAGGCGTGCGCCACCACCGCCCAGACAGACTTGGCACCTTCTGATGCCTCCAGACCTAGCTACTTCCTATGGCTGCCTTCATGGATGCCCACCTCACTCAGGTAATAGCGGCCTCCCATTCACATAATTCCCATGTTCTTATCCCTTACCCCCTACAAGACATCCACATCAAAACACTGCAAGAAACTTAACATCTTCCCACGAAATGCAGATCAGACATGGCAGGGGTGTCGCTCTGTTACTTCCTAGCTGTCAGAGATTTCATTTCCACCCATGAAGTTAGACTCAGAAAAAAAAAAAAAGTGAGTTCCCCATTCCCGGATCTAAGCAAGAGAGGAGTAAGATGCCCACCTGGCTAGAAGTGAGATTCCTGAATCAAAATGGAAAGCCCTATGAGTGGGCTTTGAAAGGACTTTCCAGCTCAATAGTGTCATTATCCTAGTCCTTTGTCTCCAAGGCATCTTCTTAGGGTGCAGAGGTAATAAAGTAAAAGACAAGATGAGTCTATTTTGTGACTGTCATTGTATGTACACATGCTCATACACAGCATGCATGCATGTGAATAGATAGATAGATAGATAGATAGATAGATAGATAGATAGATAGGTATATTTAGCCACCTTTGAGCCAAAATGATCTTGGTTTATACACAGCTAGATATAGCTTTCTGGTTATGGTCCTTGCCAAAGGCACCGTCCACTAATTATGCATGCTGACATTGGCTCACCGAAGGGCATTTGAAAGGCTGGACTAATCAGAGACTTACATGACTTACAGCAGAAATATCACAGAGTCCAATCCCTTACTTGGGAAGGGAACCCCTCAAGCCTTCCTTGCTCTAAGCCCCTGCCTCTTACTTTGTACACAATTCTTGCAAGGACATCATTTTATTCCCCGTCCTTGAGTATCATATGCAGCTCAGAGGACATATGTAAAAGTGGCTGGAGGTGACTGCCTATTTTATAGCAACATAAGCACCCAGAAATGCATTAGAGAGAAATACAAGAATAAACAAAATCAGACAGGTGAGTTCCAAAAGTCTGGAAATTTTGGAGCCCATGGTGCTATAGCAAAGAGACCCAGGGACCCGGGGACCTCACCCAGTCACCACCTGGCACAGAGGAACTGATGGCGCGGGGATTTGAAATGCCTCATTGTGTGCGTGTGTGTGGCGTGTGTCCTCAGGACACTATCCACCTTGTTCTTTGAAGCGGTTAGGCTTGCTGACTAGTGATTCTCAAGGATCCTGCTGGCTCTGCCTCCTAGCAGATCACGAGAGCACCACCATGCCCAGCTTTTTTAAC